ATGTGAATGATGTGATCACTTTTTTCTCACGTTTTCCTCCACATTTGTGAACAGTAGCGTGTGACGTGTCCCGCGTGTGATTAATCACACATTGAATGATGGTGTTTTTCTGTGTGGGGGGGTTAAAGTGTCCTCACACTGGCTTCTGCGCTGCAGTGGTTCGGAGCTCAGCGCCGTGTCAGCGGGTTTAAACTGTGTTTTTGTGGTTTTGTGTCACGTTAAATAAAAACACACAACAAAGCGCGGCGCCTGGGCAGCACACAGGAAGTGGCCGAATAAAAGGCTGAATGGCATCAAAGGCTTTTTCTCCAGTGATGAATAAAAGCGACAAAAGCGAGGCGGAAAGGCTCGGCGAGGAGAGATGAGTCATCGTACGGGGGGAGATGACTTTACAGACCAAATCAGACGCTCACAGAGAGCCTCGCGGCTGAGGAGACGCTTTCAGAGCGAATTCGTCACTGAACAGTTTCCACTTCACCCCAGATTAAAGGAATTCCTCCAGATCGTCTCAGCTGCTCCGGGTCTTATTTCATCTGAGACGTCCCTGCTGAAAAAGGACCATTAGAAACCAGTAGGATTAAAACCTGATGGCTTTGCTTTCTAATGGGAATTGGCTTAATGGTTTCCATTAAAGGCCCCTAGTTTCCTGTAGAACAACTTTAGATCCCATTAGAAAACCATCGAATGCATTTAGAATCAGCCACTGGTCTCCTGTTAAACCATTAGGATTCTTTATACTGTGATATCAACCCATTAAAAACATACAAAACACATTACAAAACCATCAGGAACCAACAGAAACAATAGTTTCTATGGGTTTTTTCAGCTTCTACACTGTGTTCCTAAAACTAAAGCTCCTGTTCCAGAGTGCAGTTTCTCCTCCACTTCCCATCAGTGTCGTTATATCAGCCTCGTTTCATAATTCAACACGTATCAGACTTTCATACAGTTTCTGTTTCATATCAAACCTCAAAGAAAGACAAACAGCCAATCAGATCACAGAACAGAGGACAAACAGAAACGTCTGAAAGGCTCTTCCTGCACTTACAGTGTAACACAGCAAAGACAGCTAATCATCCCCAAACCTAAACCTAGGACTCGAACTGCAGGGGAACCCCACCAGTGTTTCTAAATTCAGTGGTTCAATGTAAACGAGTGCTTTGATGTGAAATGGTTCATTTTAGAGAAGCTTAGAAACAACATCCCAGTCATCAGGCAGTGAATTCATAACCATTCATGTAGGAACTTTCTGTGAGGGAGCTTTTAGAGGTGGACGTCTGGTTCCTGTCACCACCACTGTGAACAGTTCTGACTCGGTAAGTTTATCTAGAACGGAGCGTTTCACACCAAACCACTCTGTTTACATCTTAACCACTTAATTATGGAGACAATTTTAAATTTAGAAGGCCGTCTCTCACTGCTGACCACTGTGAGGATAAAGTGTCTCAGCTTAGTTTCTCGGTGGATAATTGTTCCGTTTTATGTGTATTTTAACCTTAAAAGAGGGATGAACTCTCGGTAAAAACAGATCAGCAGGTGTTTCTGCTCATCTCAGCTTTAATCTGCTCACTTTAAAGCAGTTTGTTGTTTAAGTGTACTGTGCTGTTGGCTGTCGTTTCAGATAAGTACACTTCGTGCGGTCAGTCATTTTTAACCTTTAGGTGAGACTGAGATCCTCTCTTTCCTGCGGTATCAGAAACAGTGTTGAGTATTGATTGTTCTGAAGTGCTGTATCAGAGTGGGATAGTGCAGCATTGCGACTGTATTGTTGAGATCTAGAACCGAGGAAAGATGTGGAACTGTCAGGTGGTCCCCAAGAACTGGATTTAGAACCATTGGTGTAAGACACTGTGTGAGTACTGACTCTGTGCTGCCACCTACAGGTCAACTGAACACACATTCCTTTCATCCACTCATAACTTTAGTTTCTTTCACATTATTATTCAAATGTTCAACTGTTTTATTAGTACAATCCAAATCCATAGAGGTTTACATTAGTGGAGGTGTTTACATTAGTAAAGGTGTTGTTTAAAGGTGTTGTTTACATTAGTAGACATCTTATTACATCTTATTACTGCATTATTTATATTTGCACCAACAATTACTGTGTTTACTCTGCATATTTTTACATATGCTCCGCCTACAGGACATACTACCTCATTGTACGCTCTCCACTCACTCTATATGTATATTACATTTATACTTGCATATCTGTATATTTTTTAACCATTGTACCATCCTTCTGCACTTTATATGTAAATAATACTGTATTTTGCACTTCTGGTTAGATGCTAACTGCATTTCATTGGCTCTGTACCTGAACTCTGCTCAATGACAAAGTTGAATCTAATCTAATCTAATCTAATCTAATCTATTCTAATTTACAGTACTAAAGGTGTCGTTTACATTAGTAGAGGTGTTGTTTATATTAGTAGAGGTGTTGTTTATATTAGTAGCAGTGTCGTTTACATTAGTAGCGGTGTCGTTTATATTAGTAGAGGTTTTGTTTATATTAGTAGAGGTGTTATTTACAGTAGTAAAGGTCTTGTTTACATTAGTAGAGGTGTTGTTTATATTAGTAGAGGTGTTATTTACAGTAGTAAAGGTCTTGTTTTTATTAGTAGAGGTGCTGTTTACATTAGTGGAGGTGCTGTTTACATTAGTGGAGGTGTCGTTTACATTAGTAGAGGTGCTGTTTACATTAGTGGCGGTGTCGTTTATATTAGTAGAGGTGTTGTTTATATTAGTAGAGGTGTTGTTTATATTAGTAGAGGTGTTGTTTATATTAGTAGCAGTGTCGTTTACATTAGTAGAGGTGTTGTTTATATTAGTAGAGGTGCTGTTTACATTAGTGGAGGTGCTGTTTACATTAGTGGAGGTGTTGTTTACATTAGTAGAGGTGCTGTTTACATTAGTGGCGGTGTCGTTTATATTAGTAGAGGTGTTGTTTATATTAGTAGAGGTGTTGTTTATATTAGTAGCAGTGTCGTTTACATTAGTAGAGGTGTTGTTTATATTAGTAGACGTGTTGTTTATATTAGTGGAGGTGCTGTTTACATTAGTGGAGGTGCTGTTTACATTAGTAGCGGTGTCGTTTATATTAGTAGAGGTGTTGTTTATATTAGTAGAGGTGTTATTTACAGTAGTAAAGGTCTTGTTTACATTAGTAGAGGTGTTGTTTATATTAGAGGTGTTATTTACAGTAGTAAAGGTCTTGTTTACATTAGTGGAGGTGCTGTTTACATTAGTGGAGGTGTTTATATTAGTAGAGGTGTTATTTAAAGTAGTAAAGGTCTTGTTTACATTAGTAGAGCTGGTATGTATGTTAGTAGAGGTGTTTACAGTGTGTAAGTCGAGTATCTTGCGGATTGTGAATTCAGACAGCTGATGTTCCGTTTTCTCATTTATAATTGAACATTCAAGTTTTCAGTAATATTTCTAAGTGTTTATATATTGATTTATAGATTTTTTTGTATTATGAAAGGCTGCTCTAAGGATCACAAACTGCCATGTAGCTATAAATGCTATGATGTTTTGATACCATGTGTGATCATGTACGATTGTTCATTATAAACATTAACTACGTAAATGGTCATTAGTGGCCTGTGTTCACTTCCTGTTCTCCTCTTGTCCACTCAGGAGTTGAGAGTGATCCCCTGCGCTCACCGTTTCCATAAGAAGTGTGTGGATCCGTGGCTCCTGCAGCACCACACCTGCCCACACTGCAGACACAACATCATTGGTGAGACCACTGATTTTTTTGTATATATAAGAATATATAGATTATTTATTTACCCCTATTTATTTTTTAAAAGTAATTTTCTCTTCATATTTTTCTATGAATATTTATATTTAAGTCATTTAATTTGATTATTTTCCCATTCAGAGCAAAAGAAAGGAAACCCAGGTCCTGTGTGCATGGACCCAGGGAACCCAGTCCATAGCCGGCAGCAGAGGGTGGTCCTCCCTGTGCATTACCCAGGCAGGGTGCATCGAGCCGGGCAAGTGACGGCATACCCTACCCGTACCAGCATGGACCCTCATGGCAACCCAATCACTGTACTAACAGTGGACCAACACCCGGACCAGACCCTTTACCCCTCACCGTCTTCTTTCATCCGAGGCTACCCTGCCCTTCACTTGGACCACAGCCTGAACCCCCACCACTGCGGCCTGGACCACCGGGTTCCTCCTTACCCCCAGCCTCATGCCTTTAAGCGCCCCAAGTTTCATGGGCGTAACTTCTCTCGTGCCACTTGCTTCTCACAGTACGAGACCATGTACCAGCACTACTACTTTCAGGGCTTGACCTTTCCGCAGCCGGAGGGTCAACCTGGTTGTGCCCCCCACAAGGGCCAAGGTCGACCCTTTCAGCCGGGACTTTTGTACCCAACTGTGGTGCACATGGCGCCAGCGTCCTCGTCCCGTTTGGGGGACTCTGGGAGCACCTCGGGACTCAGCTGTTACCACGGCCACCGGTCAGTGTGTAGCGGCTACCTTGCAGACTGTCCCGGCAGTGACAGCAGCAGCAGTAGTTCGGGTCAGTGCCACTGTTCGTCTAGCGACTCCATGTTGGACTGTACGGAAGTCAGCAACCAGGGTGTCTACGGGAGTTGCTCCACCTTCCGGAGTTCGCTAAGCAGCGACTACGACCCCTACGTCTACCGCAGCAAGAGTCCCTGCCGCGGGTCAGCTGGAGAGCCCGGCTCGGGATTCCCGGTGACCTCGTCCGCAGATGACATTCTGGCTCCAGTTTCGGTGGGTACAGACTGCCTGCAGCCTCCCGTAGGTGCTTGCTACAGTTCCGGGGACCAGCTGTCCAACTGCAGCCTAGAACCGAACTGTAGCAGCCACTCTTCACTGGAAACCAGGGAAATCACTAGCACTACCTCAGCCGGGCCCCTAGAGGGCTCATCAGTGGAAACGAACCACTGTTCTATGGAGCATGGCGGGGAACAGGGGGCAGCATGTAGCTGCTGTTTTGAGGTTCCTCCACTGAATCTGGAACGTAAAGGACAGGAGGGATGCTGCAGACGAGGTGCAGAATCTCAAACCGTTTCCGGCGCTCCACCGCAGAACTTTTACAGCACTGGCGCTGACCGACTTTCGCCTGCTGAACACGCTAGCTACGACGGCCTGCCGTGCTGCTTCTACACGGAGATGAAAGTGCACCACGGAAGTGTCGGCCGCTACGCCGAGGACTATTCCGTTAACGTACAGTACGCCCAAACGGACAGCGATGGCTGCTTGGGACAGGGCTGCTGCGAACTCGCCCAACGGATACCCATAATTCCTGAGGACACAGACTGCGAATTAGGCCTCGGTTCTGATACTCAAACGAGCCTTCTCCCTCCCCGACTGACAGTGGAACAGGAGAACAGGACTTCTGGGGACACCAGCCAGGGGTTTTTCTCCTCAGGACAGAGTAGAGGTCAAACATATCAGCAGCAACAGCACGAGGAGGCCATGGCCCTGTTCTCCTCTCAGTGCAGCGGCATGTCTGAAACACAAGGGGGCAGCAAAGCTACACTTGAGGGTTCCCGGCTATGAAGTAAACCCAGCTTTGCCTCTGCAGGCTGGCTTAACTCGTCAGCACTTGCCCGGCTCTCAGAACTTCGAGTGTACTTATCAGAAAAAGGGTTGAATTATTATTATTATTTTTTATTTTTGGTTGAAGTGTGGTGTCATAATCTGGTTTATTCCTTTCATTCCTGTGGCCTTCAAAAGCTCCAACAACACAACTTCAAAAGCCACATCAACAAACATGCTGTAGCAGGCAGAGGCGTAAAATACTGAAAACACGCTTTTAATTCCACAAGTTCATCGTTTTAAGATCTGAGAAGCCGCCGTGAGAGTTCAGCACCGCTCACTCAGATTCACATGCTAGATTCACGTTGCAGCTCATTTTGTGCTCCTGATCGTTTTAGTCAGAACTGTGTGTGTGTGTGTGTGTGTGTGTGTGTGTGTGTGTGTGAGAGCACCGTTCAGAGAAACAAACCAAAACAGAACGTGGACCTCTGAAGCCCCTCATCATTCCGTAGTTAGCGTCCTGCCTGTGTTACCAGCTCTGAGCCGTTTATCTTTGCCGGAAAAATCAGCACCATTTTTTTAAAATTGTTGCTGTGAACAAAAACTCGGTTCTTCTAATGTTGTTCCCACCGTAATAACTGCGTTCCCCCACGTTTAGCCTGGAGTTCCTCAGATGTGCAAGTTCAGAGCTCATCTGACTCTGCAAGAGGAACTCGTTCATGTTTAGGCGTCTGTAGTTCAGACGGTTCTGTTCGCTGCAGAGCTGCATTTACAGTGTTTCTGAAAATGTTCATTTTCCCTCAGATAAACGGCTTTTTCAGCGTCACAGATCAGGACTGAACAGACAGTACAAACTCCAGCATGTTTATCCTCTCTCTCTCTCTCTCTCTCTCTCTCTCTCTCTCTCTTTATTCTCCCTTTCTCTCTCTCTCTCTCTCTCTCTTTATTCTCCCTCTCTCTCTCTCTCTCTCACTCTCTCTCTCTCTCTCTCTCTCTCTCGCTCTTTCTCTCTCTTTATTCTCCCTCTCTCTCGCTCTCTCTCTCTCTCTTTATTCTCCCTCTCTCTCTCTCTCTCTCTCTCTCTTTATTCTCCCTCTCTCTCTCTCTCTCTCACTCTCTCTCTCTCTCTCTCTCTCTCGCTCTTTCTCTCTCTTTATTCTCCCTCTCTCTCGCTCTCTCTCTTTATTCTCCTCTCTCTTTTTCTTTATTCTCCCTTTCTCTCTCTCTCTTTATTCTCTCTCTCTCTCTCTCTCTCTCTCGCTCTCTCTCGCTCTCTCTCTCTCTCTCTCTCTCTCTCTCTCTCTCTCTCTCAGGGTCAGTGTCTCATCAGTACAGAATCAGATGGAGGTTCAGAGGTTAAAAGCTGAGTTTGTGTTTATTTTTGTTTGTTTGTTTGTTTGTTTATAGATCACTGATTTCTCTGAACTTCTCACCAAAGTTTAGTTCCTCTCCAGCGTGCAGAACTTTAGAACGGTCTAGCTCTAGAACGCTGGTTCTACACTCTGCGGTTACAGAAACGTTTCATGTCTTTGTCGGTGCAGCTCAAACTGCTGATTTATGTTGAGTTTTGTTGTGTGTTTGTCACTGATCTGCTGTTCCTCTCCATAACAGGTTTTCTGAAAAAGGCCAAAGTGTGACAGATATTTAAAAATCTGAATGCAGTGAATATTTTTATAATCAAACTCTTCTGGATCAACACACACACACACAAACACACACGTTTGTCTTGCTATACATATGAGGACGTCCATAGGTTTCTATTGATTTTTGTGTTACTGTAGCTAAATAATACTACAGCTAAACCTAAACCTAACCTTAACCTCAGTATCCTAAAGGCAATTTTTCTGCTCTTTTAGTTTTCAAATAACTCATAATTCATAGTAAGGACATAGGGTCCTCTCAAGTATAGCACCACAAGAACACACAATCACACACACACACACACACACACACAATCACACACACAAACACGTTTGTCTTACTATACTTGTGAGGACTTCCATAGGATTCTGTTGATTTTTGTATTACAGTAGTTAAATAATACTAAACATAAACCTAACCTCAGTATCCAAAAGGCAATTTTTCTGATCTCTTTGTTTTTCCAAAAAATTTCATTTGTGGTGAAAACTCGTGCTTGAGCAAAAATGTCATGTTGTCCTATCATACTGAGGCCATTTGGTCCTCACAAGTATAGCAGTACAAGAACACACACACACACACAGAGTCTTCATGTCTCTGTTTTTTACAGAGTTTTTTACGCTGTTTCTATGAAATGAACCCAAACGGCTTCCACAGGCGAACCTCCTGACAGATCTATTTATGTGTAATAACAGTGCTATAACATGACAGAATCTAATCTCGCCTGGCGTAGAGTTATTTACTGCAGATAAGTATAGCGTTTTTGGGGTACTTGAGTCACTATTTAATTTTTGTTATTGTTTGTAGCACTTAAGAAGATTGTATAAAGAAAATATGTACAAAAATTAATATTTTTTAATTTTTTAAGATATAATTATGTTCTCCATCATTTCTCACTCTGCAGATGTTGAGGAGGCCAGAGCTCAGCCGTGTATATTTCTATATCTGTATAGCAGCACATTTCATAAATGGAAATATGTTCTCTGATATTTATTGACTAATATATTTATCTGTAAGCCATGTCTTCTGTTCAGAGCGTCTGAAACCTTTGAGATTTTTCTTTCTTTTGGAGATCACTAATATGGAACTTTGTAAATACATGATAATTGCACACAAGATGATTAAATATTCTCTGACCAAAAACCAGTTTTAAAATTTTAGTACAGTTTTGTAACAAAGTGTATAAAGATCTGAGAATTATATGGTTTATTCAGCTGAACAGAGTCGAGTCTTCTTTCATCAGATGTTCAGTGTCTCTGTGTTCTTTACATTAACAGTGGGAGTGAAACGGTTCTGAAACTGATACCAGAACTGCCACACAAACGTCCACGGTCTCACGGTAAAGCTGTTTATCTGAGCAGTAAGAATAGTAAAAAACATAAGAATAAACACAAATAATCATAAATACAGGAGTCAGTAGTCAAAATGTGTTGTTGTCAGTAAAGGTATGAATATGTAGGAACACAGACAGAGGAGCCCAGGTTTGGTTCCTGACTTCTTGCTGCTCTCTAGCATCACATGGATCTGTTCAGTTCCATCAGCTGATTTAATTTAATGAAGTATTGATTAGATAAAGCAGGTATTGGATGGTAACTGTAAATAATGGACTTCCATGAGGACATTCAATTAACAATTAATTCAACAGGCATAAAATGGCATCACTTATTGTATTAATATTTATATTTTTTTCTACTAGTGATTTTGAGAAATAAACTCTTCCTGCCAGATGAATAACATTTCAAATATCATCTTCTCAGATGGCTGAAGCTTTTGTACAGTGCTGCCTGTGTCCAGCAGGGGGCAGTCTTACTTCAGTCTTCAGTATTTACACTGAGGTCATTTACCTGCTTCACTAAAACACATCAGAAAGGGCATTATAATCAAATAAACCTCAACACACCAACAGATAACTAAAAACTGATCTTTATTATTTTAATTGTGTGACACCACAAATCAATCATCCCTGAAACCTTCAATCCACTTACTTTCTCAAACCATCATCACCAAAAACAACAACAATAACCCCTCCATTTCTTCTCTGGGGGTCTGGTGGGAGCCTGGGTTTATATTCCTTGAAAAAGTCACACCATGAATCAAAGAAGCAATAACAGAAAATACACTTTTCAATTCAGCAGGAAGATTGGCAAACTATATCATAGAAGATGAAAAAATTGTTTTACTTTAAATCGTTTAAAAACAACCGGACATAGGCCGTATAATCGCCTATCATCTGAATTAGACGTAAAATTCACTTTATATTCTTGTATCAAAAATTGCCCAAATGCGTGAGACTACCGTAAGTCTTATCTACGTCTGTGTTTCTGGACTGTTTCCAAATTCCTTTAATTTTTAGGTGGAAATATTTAAATCGGTTGGAAAATGTCTGTACAATGTG